TGAGTACATGTGCCCTATAGCAAATTTAAAAATAATGATCATAAATAAAATTAGATAAATAATTTTTTAAATGACCTAATTTAAGAATTTACTTAAATTATTCTTGAATTTCTAAGAGTAGAAACTATATACGACAATGCAGTAATGACTTCTTAATATTTGTCACATAGAGGTTTCCCTTAGTTCAGTCTTAATGTGTATCATCTGAGGCATCTAGTGCTACATCCTCCATCAGTGTAGGTGTTACTCTGCCTCCGGAGGCCTAATACTAAGTACCTGCCAATGCTTTTTAAATTGCTTTTGCTCAGAATATGGGTGGAAAGAGTTGCTTACGTAGATTCAAACCTCCTAGAGCACTGCTCCCAATCTGCCCGCATCGTTCTTCAGTACTCACTCTTCTTATTCGGGCTCTCTGTATGTTGAAAACCAGCCTGTGTTGCATGTTGTTATGAGTTTCTGTGATATTTGCAATAAATGTTCTGGGAGAAGTGAAAACTTGCCTTTGACCTCATTCCTTCTTGATCATTGAACACTTAACAGTTCTGGAACTGCTTAGTCACTTGGTGGTTTTCCTTATTTGCAAAATAAAATAGAGCATAACAATCAAATAGTTTCTGCATTTGATGGTTTTTAAATTACACTAGTTGAATTTTGTAATTCTTCATTCAACTTTATGAGGTAAGTAAATCACTCATGGTTGAAGTAGAATTTTAAGGTATAAATGCATTCAGCTTGTTCTCAGAAATTTTTTTTAGTTGTATGGATTTCATTTTATATCAGTACCTGGTTTTTGGTATGCATACTGTTTAATAACTATTGTATGTTTCAGACAGAGCTTGAGAATAAACTACAGCAGCAGTCAACACAGGGAGCCCAGGAACTTGCAGCACAGAAGGAGAAAATTGCAGTGCTTCAAGACACCTATGATAAATCTCAGGAAAGTCTAAAACAGCTTCAATCTGATTTCTATGGGAAGGAATCTGAACTTCTAGCTACCAGGCAAGATCTTAAGGTATATTATATCATAAACAACTCTAGTAAGTTGTTTATAGACATTCATTAAATGGTTTATTTGAATCCAAATGGTAAAAGGAATGTTAATATTTCTGGAATATTGTGCTTGTTTTCTATTAAGTTTTTATTTTTGGATTAACAAGCTTTTAAAGAAGTCACATTGTTTTATAACAGACTATAGCAAAATAATGATATACATAAATGGGGACATTTTAAAATAATGCATCTATAATACAGTAAAATAATTTATATTTATGTTAATTGGCACATTGTTAGTTTATCTGGGTATTTTGTCATCTTTATGTGAAAATAACTTTAAAGATAGGCTGCTGTTAGAAAACCTAATGAGTTTTAAATGTAAACTCCCTTCACTTGTGAAAACGGAAGCAATTTTTCTGTTACTTATCAGGTAATACTGACTTTGGTTTTATATATTTGTCAACTTTCCAAGATGTTTATAATACCTAATGATTAAAATTAGGATCATAGCTCAAAATAAACTTAATAGTCCAACAATTAGTACAATTTTATCCTTAGCAATACTATTAGTATCATTTTTATTAAAATGAAGGTTATGGAAAAAAGGTAAAACAACTTTTATGTAAATTAAGGTATCAATTCTCTAGGGGAACTGGAACATTTGTGTTCATTTTGTTCTCAATTGGCCCATTATTAGTTTATCTAGGTATTTTGTCATCTTTGTGTGAAAATAACTTTAAAGATAGGCTGCTGTTAGAAAACCTAAGGAGAAGAAGATTCAGTTTTCTTTCTCTCCCTTTGTCAAAATAAAATATAATGCTTTTATTTCTTTCTACATTTGGGATTTTCTTTGTTTATTTAATTTGAAGTTCACTATGGCAAAATTTTGTTGAAAATTACAGAATATTAAAATGTTTTATGTATACATAATGTTTATATTTTATTCAAAGGGTGTTTTAGGGAAGGCTAATTAAAGAGGTAGGCCTGAAGTTGGTTCTTAAGGAGATGTGGAATTTGAACATGAATAGCGTTTTGAATATGTGGGGAGTTCTGAGAAAGGTCATTTTACTCTAGGACACAGTTGAGGAAAGGTGCTACAATGAGAATAAACAAAGCCAGGAGACAGTTACCATTGTCTTACTCTAGTTCTAGTTTATGTTTAGAATTAAAGTTAGAAAAGGTTGAGTTCGGGAACCCGCAGTTAGCGTAATGGCTATGTCGCTGGACTCCCACGTAGTCGACCGTGGTTCGTGTCCTGGACCCGGTGACTTAAAACTCATGCCAGGCACATGTGCGTGCGTGCCCAGGATCCCGAGAGGAGAATGGAGGAGAAGGAACTGCGGCATGACCATCCCCCATGGGGGGGTGATTTCTTACTTTCTGTCTCTAATGTCTCTGGTGAGCGCAAACGCCCTATAGCGAAAATCTCTCCAAAAAAAAAAAAAAAAAGAAAGAAAAGGTTGAGTTCAAATTGTGAAGTATCATAGAGGCATAGCAAAGCCAATTGGATTTTATATATGTATATTTAGGGGAAAAAGTAAAAAGTCTAAGCAGAAGAATAAAATTAAAGAAATAGCTCTGTAGGAAACTTAATCTTGAAGTGTTTTGCAGACAACTTGAATTGGAGCTGGAATAGACTGGTGATAGGGAAATTAGTTAAAAGATTATCATCCTTACTTTTGTTAAAATGTTAGCCATCGAAATGAGATTAAAATTTAGATTAGAACTAAAACTAAAGTGAATAGGATAGAAGAGATTAATGAGAAAGACAAAACAAAAAAGGCTGACTATCTACCAGTCTGCAAGAGAAGTGTAGGGATCAATGGTGAGTAATGATTCAACAAAGAAATAAGAAATTGGGTAAAAGCATGCTTATAGCTCCAATAGTATATTTATAGATGTCACTGTGCAGAAAGAGCAGCAGAGATAGATGTCAAAATTACCAAGAGCTGTTATAAGAAAAATACCACCCAACATTTAGGTGGAGTTGAATTATTATTTTCTTTACAACATTACTGAAAGGGAATGTTTGTAGAAGCTTTTGGATGTAACCTTAACCTAAAGGTGGTGAGGAACACTAAGGAACCATACAGTTATTAGATGTGTATTTGAGGCAAATGACTGGCTGTAGAATGAGAAATGAGTTGGAGGGGATAAAGGCTGAATGTAGAGACTAGAGAGTATAATTTGCAGTAGTCTTAAGTACAAGACGAGTATGCTTTGAGCTGGTAATAGTAGTAAGAATGAAGAAAAGTGGATGACTTTAAAAGATATTTAAATGATTGGGACCAGCAGTTGGTGTAATGGCTATGTTGCTGGACTCTCATATAGTTGACTGCAGTTCGAGTCCTGGACCCGGTGGCTTCAACTCACGCTGGGCACGTGTGCGTGCATGCCCAAGATCTCAAGAGGAGAATGGAGGAGAAGGGATTGTGGTGTGGCCACCCCCCTGGGGGGTGATTTCTTGCTTTCTGTCTCTCTGTCTATCTCTGTCTTTCTGGCAAGTACATGTGCCCTATAGCAAAAAAAAATCTCAAAAAAAAAAAAAGATATTTAAATGATCAAAGAGATGAAACTTAATGATTGATCATAAAATCCCATACATGTAGAAGTCACACTCTTTTCATATGGACATATCATTTATGCAGAATATAATCTAGTCACAGTATATATCTCTTAAATTGTTATTTTTTCAATAAGTAAACAACAATTTTTATTATACCTGAAAGCTACCTTTCATACAAATAATTTCATACATGAAAGAATAAATATGTATGGGAAAAAAGAGAAAATAGAGGTACAGGTGGCTATAGGATTTTATAACTGTTAAGAGGTCTGGATAGATCCTTGATTCCAAAGCTTTCTTCTGTAGAGAGAATAGGCTCAGAATTGCAGAATAAAAGACCCATGGTTAGATCTCAGTTCTGATTCAAAGCCTACTAGTCTTTCACCACCATGTCACTAGAATATTTCTTGACAAAATAGGAGATTGATAAATTCCATATTAATGCTTCTAAAATGAGAAGTGTTTGAACTACTTAGGAAGTTAATTTAAGGAGGAAAAAAAGAGTAGATTTTTAGGGACGTTAGAATGATATTTATAGACCAGAACAAGAGATGGTTATTAATCATTATTTTTCTTTTTCTTCAATGAGTTGCATGATCTTTTTGTGTATATGAGAGGAGAGATTCAGAACCTTACAGCATGACACAGATGAAGTCAAGGTTGTCTACTGTGGGCTGATACTGTGCACTATGGGCTGGCAGGGTCTATACCTGAACACCAGTAGAGTGGAGGGCAGCCTGACCTGGTGTATGCCTTTAGCCCCATCTGCTGGATTATTTATGAAATACTTGTTTGTTGACTGGATGTTTCAAATTGGCTATGCCATGTGCTGTGCTTTGTTGTCCAGGAAAGGTGAAAGTGGAATTTAATTCTAAATGTTATACCCCTAAATGGAGTGAATATTCAGACAATAAGTTTAGATAAATATAAATCTTCTTAGCCAGTTACTATGCTTTATGTCATCAGACATTAAGAAAAAGAAATAATCAAAATTGTCAAGGTTTTATTTTGGAAAAAGAGTAGGAGAACATCCTGAATAGACAAAAAATAGTAATCCCCACAGAACAGAAATGCTCTTTTATAGGGCACTATAATGTGATTGAGGTAAGAACAGTCCCCCAAAAAATCATGGAATAGGAGAGGGAAGTCCACCAAGAAATATTAAAGAGAGAAAATAAAATGGCTTACAAGAAAGATAAAAGGAACATTTAAAATGCATGGCAGTATACCACTGGGTGACAGATGATGTTCAGAGGCAGGAAAGATGGGTATATCTTGATTTTGACCTTGACTTTAAAGAATTAGTCACTGGGGAACCATAGAGATTGTGGAATTCATATGGTCAGAGGTTAGGGATACTATCATTTTCTAGGTTCTAGTAAACCTTGGGGTTTTGTTGATGTTATAATGAAAGAAGATTTTTTTCTTCTTCTTCTTCTTTTTTTTTTTGAGAGTTTTTTTTTTCACTATAGGGCACGTGCGCTCGCCAGACAGACAGAGAGAGACATAGAGACAGAAAGCAAGAAATCACCCCCCAGGGGGGATGGTCACGCTGCAATCCCTTCTCCTCCATTCTCCTCTTGGGATCTTGGGCACACGCACACACATGCCCGGCCTGAGTTTTAAGCCACCCGGTCTGGGACATGAACTGTGTTCGACTACATGGGAATCCAGCGACGTAGCCATTACGCTAACTGCTGGTTCCCATGAAAGAAGTATTTTTGACAGAGTCCTGCAGTTATAACCCTTTTTCCCAGCTTTTTTGTTAGCTAGGATCCTGGGTACATAGTCCCACAACCAGCCTGTTCAAGATGGCCCAAGATCTGAAGCTAGGCCTCTCATGCAGACCCAGCCTCATTCAGAAGCACCCTACTGCCCACACCACAGTGGGTGGGCCCTTGGTATTTTTTACCATTAGATCAGGATCTCTACTACGTAATTACAGTTCCTATAGCCTGTATGAACTATACTTTGTCAATATTTATTCTTTTTATGTGAAATAACTCTTACCCTTGTGACACATGGATTGGTTCCCACATGAGCTACTGAGCTTTCTGTAAACCATTTCCACAGACAGTCTCACACACATAGCTCTTCTTTGCTACTGGATCCAACTTTGAATTTACATGCCACTTCTGTTTCACAGGCTATGTAGTCAACTCTTTCAAGTTAGGGGCCACTCGTACTCTCTCGTTTTGCCCTAGCAGTGTACCCAGTTAATGGTTAGCTGCTCAATGAATAAAGAACTAGATGACTTTAGATCTTTCTGAAGACAAAGTCTTAGGAGTTTAGTGTTATACTGGTAGTAATTGAAAATTGAAATTCAATTTATATTAGAAGACTTATGATCTGAGTTGTTGGTAAGAAGTATACTTTATCAGAAAGCTTAAGAATCCTCCTACATAAAGTCTGTCTTTATTCATCCATCCATCCATTCATTTTTTTTTTAATTGAATACTTACTATCTACAAGCCTAGTCAGCAGCAAACTTTTCCTGAATTGTATTTCCTGACCCCTTTTTCAAGGAACTGTATCTCCAGAATATGAAAGATCAGCTTCTAGATCTAAAAATTATGGAGGAGCATCTTGAGAGTTTGTTCTTACTCTGCCAGTTTTTAGCAATAGCTGCTGACAGTAGCAGGGTTCTTGCCATTTTCATTATCTACCTGTTACCCCAAAATGAAGCCTAGTAGTTTTAGAAAACTTGCCCTTGCCTTAATTTCAGCTTCTCAAAATATTTAGGTCTTAGAGCAGTCAGTCGTATGGACAGTGTTAGGTGACAATTGCTACTTCTACCATAGAGATAAAGAGTTAAGAGGATGGAATGATAAATCATCTCAGGAGAAAGCCTAGATATTTGGCTGAATTTCTTCTTTTGGTTTACTCAGTCAGATTGTCAGCTGAGAAATGCAATTATCTTTTTCTAAGACAAACTCCCTGTTTGTTAAAGTTTTTAGCATGTCAGAGGACATCATAGATCTTATAAAACGTATGTGTATATATAATGAAGCATTTAACTATATCTCCATTTAAACTGTCACCTTCATGCCTTACCTCTAACTGTATCTATGTATGTTCTCTGAGAGTATTTGATATGGTCCCTACTTGTTTGATATTCCTTAGTATCACCTAGCCAATATGTAAGATGTGATAAACATTTAGTGAATACTTATAGGTGTTAGAATTGCTTTAGTCTTACCAAGTATTTTACCTTATAAATGTTTTCCATAGGCAGGGGAGTTAATATTTGAGAATTATTTATTTTACATGTACTCACTGGGCATAACATGTTGTCTTTTTAGAGTGTATTGTTTCCCACAATGCTTGTATTAACTGTTATGTTTCTTTTAAAATTAAAAAAATATATATATAGTAATTTGTGGAAATTATTTTTATAAGTCTGTAGAAGAGAAGCTTTCTCTAGCACAGGAGGACTTGATTTCAAACAGAAACCAAATTGGAAACCAAAATAAATTGATTCAAGAACTGAAGACTGCCAAGGCTACTCTGGAACAGGATTCTGCAAAGAAAGAACAACAGTTAAAGGAGCAGTTTAAAGCATTACAAGATATTCAAAAAGAAAAGGTATCTCATTATTCTGACTTTACAATCTACATTCTTACAGTTGTAGTCAGTCCTCTTGTTGAATACAGATATTACCTTTATTTTCAACAGCTCCCTCAGACGGACCTCTAGTTTCTGTCATTGAAATTTTAATTCTAGGAAATACTTCCTAATAGGCTTCTTATACTTTCTACTCACTTTTCTTACCGCAGTATCTAGTTTTACAGATTTGTTTGTAAATATATATAGTCCCTGCAATAATTCTCATATGGCGTGTCATCCTCCACTAATTCTCATATAACATGTTATCCTCCTGATGTATGAATGAAATAATAAAAAATTTGGAAAGATTTTTAAGTTTATTAAGAATTCCTAAAGCCAAGAATTAGTATTTTCATAGGGAAAGTACAAATGTATTTTATATAAGTAATGCAAAGTTGTAAAGTTGAAAACATTAATTTATCTAACTGTACATTTAAAAATTACTTTAAATTCTGTGTGAAAGAGGAATTGAGATTCTAGAAGACATTTTAGTTTTGGTTTTTTAGTCAAAATGATATATTCCTATCATCTGATAGGATATTATTCTGAAGTCTACAATTTCTGAAGTTTTGGGGATATTCTGAATGTGCAATTCCTGAAATATTCTTTAATAAAAAAAATAAGCTGGGGAATATTTTTATGGGATGGTGAAGCTGGATTGAAATTTGGATTTCTGCCTCATGTTTAGAAAATTCTGATAGAAATACAGTTCATAGATGTTCAATTATAAGAGCTATAGGTTACACAGATCTTGCTTTGTTTTATTTGTCTTTTTTTGGTCTTTGTTTTAGTTTTGGCTCTACCACTAATAAATTATTTAACTTCCCTTTAACCTTTGTTCCTGCATCTATAAAATGGCGGTTAAAAAACAAACAAACAAACAAAAACTACCTATAATAGAGATTAAATGAGGTAATATATGACGGTCCTAGCAAGGTACCTTGTATAATAATAGTGATAGTAATAAAATAAGAGTTATACGAAAAAAAGATAATAGTATTGACCACCTTTTACAATATTATTACTCCAGACATTAATAATTTTATAATATTAACTTTTAATCCTTATAATAATCTTATTATTATTCATTGTATAATAAGGAAACAGACATAAAAGAGGTAAGTAATTTGTTCAAGTTAAGTAGAAGATGGCAAAGCCATTGACATAAATAGTAGCACTTAGGGCCAGCAGGTGGCATAGTGGTTAAGACACTGGACTCCCATGGGGGGCCAACCACAATTTGAGTTCTGACATAGTGGCTTGAAATTCACGCTGGGTGCATGTGCACACATACCCAAAATCCCGAGAGAAGAACAGAGGAGAAAGGATTGCACTGTGGCCATCCCCCATGGGGGCTAATTTCTTGCTTTCTGTCTCTCTATCTCTGTCTCTCTGGTGAACACACATGCCCTACAGCAAAAATCTCTCTTAAAATAAATAGTAGCAGTAATTTTTATTACATTAATTTTTAATTAAGTATTTACTTTAAGATTATTTTTAACAAACTTATTTGTCTACAGTCATTGAAAGAAAATGAACTAGTAAATGAAAAATCTAAATTGGCAGAAATAGAAGAAATTAAATGTAGACAAGAAAAAGAGATCACTAAATTAAGTGAAGAACTCATGTCCTATAAACAAGAAAGTGTAAAGGTATGTTAAAATAATAAATTTTTGTCCCTTCTGTGTTATATTATTGTTCTTTAATTTGTATGGGGGGGAGAAGCACCTGCTATGTGCTAATCAAATAATTTTGTTGTTTCTGACAAATACTCTTGCTAGAGTACTCTTATATATCCATGGACATATTGAAACTATGCTACTTTCATTTTCAGACTACCCAATAAAGTAAAATAACTCTAAGAATTTAGATTTAATTGAAGTGAGAAAGAAGATGGCTATTGATTACAGTATTAAATATATTAATAGTAAACTTCAAAATATGTAAGAATTTATAATTTAGAGTTTAAGAGATTCTGATTTTTTTCAATTATTTTTCTTCTTAAAATTTATTAACAGTAGGGAACAAGCAGTTAGTATAATGGCTATGTTGCTGGACTCCCACGTAGTCGACTGTGGTTTGCGTCCCGGACCTGGTGGCTTAAAACTCATGCCGGGTGCGTGTGGGTGTGTGCCCAAGATCCTGAGAGGAGAATGGAGGAGAAGGGATTGCGGCGTGACCATCCCCCCTGGGGAGTGATTTCTTGCTTTCTGTCTCTATGTCTCCCTCTGTGTGTCTGGTGAGCACACGCACCCGTATTAAATATATTAATAGTAAACTTCAAAATATGTAAGAATTTATAATTTAGAGTTTAAGAGATTCTGATTTTTTTCAATTATTTTTCTTCTTAAAATTTATTAACAGTAGGGAACAAGCAGTTAGTATAATGGCTATGTTGCTGGACTCCCACGTAGTCGACTGTGGTTTGCGTCCCGGACCTGGTGGCTTAAAACTCATGCCGGGTGCGTGTGGGTGTGTGCCCAAGATCCTGAGAGGAGAATGGAGGAGAAGGGATTGCGGCGTGACCATCCCCCCTGGGGAGTGATTTCTTGCTTTCTGTCTCTATGTCTCCCTCTGTGTGTCTGGTGAGCACACGCACCCTATAGCGAAAATCTCTTCAAAAAAAAAAATTATTAACTGTGTCTTTTCTTTTTTAAAACATTTTACCTTATGTAAGCATAGACAGGGTAACACTACAGGAAACTACATTTGCTTTATAAACTGTTGTTTATTGTCTTGGAGAAGGGTTAGATTCTCTCTTAAAAGCTCTCATAATACATTTATGTCTATCAGCACACCTAACCATTTTGCTTTTAAATTATCTCATTATTCCTCCAGAATGTAACTTTCTTAAAGCAAGGTATGTACATAATTCAACTTACATTGTATTATTGAAGTAAACAGGAAATAAACAATCTGACATCTTTTTAACCAATTGTTTGAAACATTGAACTTAAAGGATCTTCACATTGAACTTAACGGATCTTTACACTGAACTTAAAGGATCGGCTAAGAGAAGTAGATAAAATTCAGATTGTATCTAAGGTGATAAATTGCATAAGTTTCAGCTACATTTTTGAAACATTTACTACTAAAAGATCATTTATTTTTGGCCTTACTTTTTCAACAGGAGGTAACAAATCTCAAGGATGCTAAACAGCTTTTGATTCAGCAGAAATTAGAACTTCAAGGGAAAGTAGATTCCTTGAAGTCAACTCTTGAACAGGAGAAGAAAAACCAGCAGATGCTGAAAGAGCGGGTGAAAAAGGAAGAAGATGAGCTGAAGAAAGAATTTATTGAGAAAGAAGCTAAACTGGTCAGTCAGTTAATGGTGGAGGGTGTATTTTGTAACAGTGCTTTAAATCAATTCATTGAGAAAGTTTTCTACTCAGAAGCAATGATTCAAATGCTTGCCAAACATTTTAGTTTTTGATTAAGAAAGATCTGATTTGTAATAGCTGACAGGATTGAAAATATTTAACTCTATAATCGTATTTTGGTTTATGTAAGTGAAAATTCAGTTAAAATATAATTAAAAGCACATTTTTAGTGCCAGAACAAAATAAGTGGTGTGAATGCTAATCATGTTAAATTCATGTATTTGGTTAAAGTGAAGGTGGAGATGGGGGAACGGAAATTTCAGTTTGGAATTACGATGACCAAAGTCTACTTTCCCTTCCCTAAGTTGTGCCTGCCAAATGGGAAGCATCTGGGTTTCCTCTTTTGAATTAAGTCCAGGTATCTCCAGATAACTTGAACCCTAAATATTTTAGTCGAACGAAGAGTTAATTTCAAGTTCAAACAGTGCCTAGAAGTGTTTGTATTGTTTCTGGCAGGTTGATGAAGACAAAAGAATGTTGTAGAGTTGGGATACATAAGGAACCAACAGCTTTGTCCCTAGAACACCTTGTTGTACCTAACTGTGTATGTCTGCCTCTCCAGTGGTGGAAAACAAACAAAAAAAAAATCTAAAATTGCATCAGCTTAGCTTGCTAAGTAATCATTTCAGCATCATGGCCTTTGATCCAGTTAATTACACAGATATGTATAGAATTAGTTTGACATAGTAACTTGCATTCTTCTGCCCTCTTTCCTGAAGAAACAATATTATTTATATTGCCAGTATCTTAAATTTAATTTTATTTTGTCCTGGTTTTATAATAGAGATTTTCCCCCATTTCTTTTCCCCCTCAGCATTCTGAAATAAAAGAAAAAGAAGTAGGAATGAAGAAACATGAAGAAAATGAGACCAAACTTACCATGCAGATCACAGCATTAAATGAAAATTTAGGCACTGTAAAGAAAGAGTGGCAATCTAGTCAACGGAGAGTTAGTGAACTTGAGAAACAAACGGATGACTTACGGGGTGAAATTGCAGTATTAGAAGCAACAGTTCAAAATAATCAGGATGAAAGGAGAGCACTACTAGAAAGGTAACTGATGCCTAGCAAAATTCGTTTATTTGCATTGTAAGTGATGGTAACATTATCATAACCCACATTTCTTAGAAGAAGAATCAGGGCCAGCTATGGCCTCATGGTTAAGGCAGCAGGATCCCACATGACTGACTTCCTGGTTCAAGTCCTGGACTGATGGCTTGAAAAACACACTAGAAGTGTGTGGATGTGTGCCCAAAATCTAGACAGGAGGAAGAGATGGAGAAGGAATTGCAGTATGACCAGGCCCTATGGGGATGTTTTCTCTCTCCACCCTCCCCCTGCCTCCAGTGAATGTAAAATTAAAAAAAAAAAGAGAAGAAGAAGAATATTTAAAGTATGTAACCCCTTTGGGTATTTAAGTAGCCACTTAAAAATTAACCCTGAAAAATAATTAGGTAGTTGAAATTAATGTGCTATATTTAAAACTACTAAAGTAGCCCATTATTTATGTTCTAGAAGTATCCTTAATGATTTTTTAAAAATAAGCTATGTGGGGACCAGCAGATGGTGTCAGTTAATGGTGGAGGGTGTATTTTGTAACAGTGCTTTAAATCAATTCATTGAGAAAGTTTTCTACTCAGAAGCAATGATTCAAATGCTTGCCAAACATTTTAGTTTTTGATTAAGAAAGATCTGATTTGTAATAGCTGACAGGATTGAAAATATTTAACTCTATAATCGTATTTTGGTTTATGTAAGTGAAAATTCAGTTAAAATATAATTAAAAGCACATTTTTAGTGCCAGAACAAAATAAGTGGTGTGAATGCTAATCATGTTAAATTCATGTATTTGGTTAAAGTGAAGGTGGAGATGGGGGAACGGAAATTTCAGTTTGGAATTACGATGACCAAAGTCTACTTTCCCTTCCCTAAGTTGTGCCTGCCAAATGGGAAGCATCTGGGTTTCCTCTTTTGAATTAAGTCCAGGTATCTCCAGATAACTTGAACCCTAAATATTTTAGTCGAACGAAGAGTTAATTTCAAGTTCAAACAGTGCCTAGAAGTGTTTGTATTGTTTCTGGCAGGTTGATGAAGACAAAAGAATGTTGTAGAGTTGGGATACATAAGGAACCAACAGCTTTGTCCCTAGAACACCTTGTTGTACCTAACTGTGTATGTCTGCCTCTCCAGTGGTGGAAAACAAACAAAAAAAAAATCTAAAATTGCATCAGCTTAGCTTGCTAAGTAATCATTTCAGCATCATGGCCTTTGATCCAGTTAATTACACAGATATGTATAGAATTAGTTTGACATAGTAACTTGCATTCTTCTGCCCTCTTTCCTGAAGAAACAATATTATTTATATTGCCAGTATCTTAAATTTAATTTTATTTTGTCCTGGTTTTATAATAGAGATTTTCCCCCATTTCTTTTCCCCCTCAGCATTCTGAAATAAAAGAAAAAGAAGTAGGAATGAAGAAACATGAAGAAAATGAGACCAAACTTACCATGCAGATCACAGCATTAAATGAAAATTTAGGCACTGTAAAGAAAGAGTGGCAATCTAGTCAACGGAGAGTTAGTGAACTTGAGAAACAAACGGATGACTTACGGGGTGAAATTGCAGTATTAGAAGCAACAGTTCAAAATAATCAGGATGAAAGGAGAGCACTACTAGAAAGGTAACTGATGCCTAGCAAAATTCGTTTATTTGCATTGTAAGTGATGGTAACATTATCATAACCCACATTTCTTAGAAGAAGAATCAGGGCCAGCTATGGCCTCATGGTTAAGGCAGCAGGATCCCACATGACTGACTTCCTGGTTCAAGTCCTGGACTGATGGCTTGAAAAACACACTAGAAGTGTGTGGATGTGTGCCCAAAATCTAGACAGGAGGAAGAGATGGAGAAGGAATTGCAGTATGACCAGGCCCTATGGGGATGTTTTCTCTCTCCACCCTCCCCCTGCCTCCAGTGAATGTAAAATTAAAAAAAAAAAGAGAAGAAGAAGAATATTTAAAGTATGTAACCCCTTTGGGTATTTAAGTAGCCACTTAAAAATTAACCCTGAAAAATAATTAGGTAGTTGAAATTAATGTGCTATATTTAAAACTACTAAAGTAGCCCATTATTTATGTTCTAGAAGTATCCTTAATGATTTTTTAAAAATAAGCTATGTGGGGACCAGCAGATGGTGTAATGGCTACATCACTTGACTCCCCTGTAATTTATAGTTGACCGCAGTTCACGTCCTGGACCCAGTGACTTAAACTCACACCAGGTGCATGTGACTGTGTGCCCAAGATCCCGAGAGGAGAAGGTATTGTGGTGTGGCCATCCCCCCTGGGGAGTGATTTCTCACTTTATGTCTCTCTGTCTCTCTCTGACTTTCTGGTGAGCGCATGCACCCTATAGCAAAAACCTCCCCCAAAATAAATAAATAAATAAATAAATAAATAAATAGCTGTGTGTGCTCTATTCCAGATGTCTTAAAGGAGAAGGTGAAATAGAAAAACTTCAGATCAAAGTACTAGAGTTGCAAAGAAAGCTGGATAATACAACGGCAGCAGTGCAGGAGCTGGGCAGAGAGAATCAGTCCCTTCAGGTAAGTCTCCTGGTCCTAGGAGACAGTTTACTACACTAGAAGTGACCTCTTAGTGAAAAGGATATTTTTAGCTTTTTAAAATCTAATATGTTTAATAATATTTCCAAATAACTACTGTCTATGGCACTATTAATAGATTTTTGTAGGTAGTCAAATATAAACATAAGGGACTTGTTAGAGAAACCAGAGGACTTTGTGAGCCATCTCATTCTTGAATTGTCATTACAGGAAAAGAATTACAAAATTTAAGACTATCAGACACATAAGTTAAATATGTGTTAAAGAAGAGGTCCACATACATTCTGAGTTCTTGACAAGGAGTTATCACAGGGTTAATGTGCATGGGAAATTACCAACCGTTAGAAGTTACCAATGTCAGGACCAGCAGATGGCATAGTAGTTGCATTGCTGGACTCCCACATGGCCAACCACAGTTTGAGTCCTGGACCTGGTGACTTGAAAGTCATGTCAGGTGTATGTGCATGTATGCCCAAAATTTCAAGAGGAGATTGGAGTAGAAGGCATTGCAGTGTGGCCATTGCCCCTGGGGTGATTTCTTGCTTTCTATCTCTTTGGTGAGTACACATGCTCTATAGCAAAAATTTCTCTTTAAAAAAATAATGTTTTTGAGGAATAAAATTTTATTTAATTTTATTTTGTCATCCAGTTTTATGAAAATAACCACTTTTGTTTTTGAGAAAGATTTTTTCTATAGGGTGCATGTGCTCACCAAAGAAAAAGAGAGAAACAGACAGAAAGTGAGAAATCATCTTCCAGGGGGATGGCCGTGCCGCAATCCCTTCTCCTCCATTTTCCTCTTGGAATTTTTTTTCTTGGAGAGGTTTTTGCTATAGGGCATGTGCACTCGCCAGAAAGACAGAGAGAGACAGAAAGCAAGAAATTACCGCCCAGGAAGGATGGACACACCACAGTCCTTTCTCCATTCTCCTCTTGGGATCATGGGCATGCACACACACACGCCTGGTGTGAGTTCAAGCCGCTGGGTCCGGGACTCGAACCACGGTCGACTACATGGGGGTCAAGCAACACAACCATTATGCTAACTGCTGGTCCCCTTTTCTTTTTTTTTTTTTTGATTGCTTTTTCCTCTTGTTATTTTGAGCACACATGCACATACGCCCAATGTGTTTTAAGCCACTGGGTCCAGGACTCGAACTGCAGTCAGCTATGTGGGAGTTCAGTGATGTAACCATTACGCCATCTGCTGGTCCCCGTAACTACTTTTAACAATAAAAGGTGACCAATGAATTTGCAATTTTAAAAATTTTGTAGTACATATAGTCAAAATGGTATAAAACTCTGACACCAAACTAGAAATAATCTGCTGTTCTTTAAAATGTTGAATATTATAATGTATTTTTTTTTAATAGATTAAACATACACAAGCCTTGAATAGAAAGTGGGCTGAAGACAATGAAGTACAAAACTGTATGGCCTGTGGAAAAGGCTTTTCAGTAACAGTGAGACGGGTAAAAGATTTGGTTCATACATCCATGTTTCTGGATTTCATTTCTCAGTGACAGCAAGTATTTTAGCTATCAAAATAGTTCTTTAATTGACAAACATAAAACAATGTCTATTTATTGTAAACATAAAACAATGTCTATTTATTGTTAAACTTTCATTTACAACTTTATAAAATAATTAAATTTCATGCAGTCATTTTTCTGGTAGCATATGCGTTTGAATGGTAGTTTTAAATCCAGTTATTGTCTTCCTACTAAGTTACTCTCTGGGACAATCATTTTCTGAACCAACATGGCAGTATTAAAACATATGTTAAATATATGTTAAACATGTGTTTTAGCCATCACTGGATTCCCTTGAAGGAAAAAAAAAAAGCAGAAATAAAAAATAAAAAACTATTCTAAAAATATCATCATGTGATGACTAATTTAGATTTCTACTGAAGACATTAGGCCTACAACAACATTTGGCAAATAGAACAGTTTTCATTTGATTGGGATACTGTATTATCACTTATAAATGCCTCCTAGGGTTCTTTAGAGAATTCCATCATAAATCATAAAATATTTAATACAGTGCTGGCTAAACTCCATAGGAAGCATTCAATTGAATATAGCAAAGGAATGTTAATTCCTTCTTAAAATATTTTATCATTAACTAATACAGTAATCACTCAAAAGTTAGTATATCTTCACAGTGGCTTGTGGTTTTTGTGTAGTTTTATAAAACTTTGGTACAGTTTTTAATGCTTGAAATTGTTCACTTTTTGTCATTTACAGCATCACTGCAGACAGTGTGGGAATATCTTCTGTGCTGAGTGTTCAGCCAAAAATGCCTTAACTCCTTCTTCCAAGAAGCCTGTTCGTGTCTGTGATGCATGTTTCAATGACCTGCAAGGATAGTGGGTTATCACAACTTCAGAGTATTATTACACTAACATTAGATTTTTTTAATAAATGTACTTAATGGAGTCTTGGACTACTATTTGATTTGGACACTGGTTGCAATACTAGACCAGATTAGAATTCGTATATTTTGGAATGTTATCAATATCAAGTAAAATTCTATTTTTGTGAGACTTGGGCTCATATTTCATTACTTTTTTCCATTTAGCCCCTGGAACAGCTTTCATGATTAAGTTTAGAATCAGCCAATGAAATGTAAATAAACTTTGGACAGAAAATAGCAATGTATTTTTTTAAATATAATTTCACTGTTCACAAATGATGAATATAATTCCATAGCTTACTTCTTTCTCCCAAATTTAATGTACAAAAATGTACATGGATGATACTGTCACATGTTGCTGTTTTTTGTTGCACAGTAACATATTAATTAGATTAAATAGTCTCTGTGATATGCACAAAACTGTAATACTTTGACTACCATTTTCTCTTATAGATAGGTCCATGGCTCAGTTGCATTGTTATGTTTATCAGTTTATTACTTAAAAATATGTATTAACCATACAGTCATACCTGGGTTTTGTTTTCATAATATTGATTAAATTCTCTTGGGTGGATTTTATGAAAACTTCTCTAAAATCAATTTGTTTACTTTGTATCTATCCTGGGGTGAAATTTTAAAGATTAGCGTTAACTTTTCTTTTTCTTCTTGTCTTTTTTGGTCTCATTTTAAAACTTCCACATATTGTCCATTAAAAATCCTACGAAGTTTCTAACCTGGGGACAGCAGGTGGCATGGTGGCTAAGGCTTGGACTCACATATGACTGACCATGGTTCAAAACCCACACCTAGTGGTTTGAAAATCATGCCAGGCACTTGTGCATGCATGTACCCAAAAATCCCACCCCTGGAACAGCTTTCATGATTAAGTTTAGAATCAGCCAATGAAATGTAAATAAACTTTGGACAGAAAATAGCAATGTATTTTTTTAAATATAATTTCACTGTTCACAAATGATGAATATAATTCCATAGCTTACTTCTTTCTCCCAAATTTAATGTACAAAAATGTACATGGATGATACTGTCACATGTTGCTGTTTTTTGTTGCACAGTAACATATTAATTAGATTAAATAGTCTCTGTGATATGCACAAAACTGTAATACTTTGACTACCATTTTCTCTTATAGATAGGTCCATGGCTCAGTTGCATTGTTATGTTTATCAGTTTATTACTTAAAAATATGTATTAACCATACAGTCATACCTGGGTTTTGTTTTCATAATATTGATTAAATTCTCTTGGGTGGATTTTATGAAAACTTCTCTAAAATCAATTTGTTTACTTTGTATCTATCCTGGGGTGAAATTTTAAAGATTAGCGTTAACTTTTCTTTTTCTTCTTGTCTTTTTTGGTCTCATTTTAAAACTTCCACATATTGTCCATTAAAAATCCTACGAAGTTTCTAACCTGGGGACAGCAGGTGGCATGGTGGCTAAGGCTTGGACTCACATATGACTGACCATGGTTCAAAACCCACACCTAGTGGTTTGAAAATCATGCCAGGCACTTGTGCATGCATGTACCCAAAAATCCCAGGAGGAGAATAGAGGAAAGGGGATTGTAGCATGGCCATTTCCTGGGAGAAAGGGGGAGGGGGAGGACAATTTTGCACCTTCCCTCTCAGTCTCTCACACATCCCGATGGCAAAAATTTTTAAACAAAAAGGCTTCTCACCTTCAGCTGGAAGATGAATAATAGAAACTGGGTAATTATCCTAGTCTTCTGAGATTAGCATTATTATACCTTTATTTTGTCTCTCTGGCAATTTCTGAAACCTGATTTTGCCTTTTTAATGGATATGCTTTTTCCCTTAGTTTAAACTGTTTAACCTTCCTAAACATAGCTCAGCTTCACTGTAACTGTTTTATAATTTTGCATCTTAAAGCTAGTAACCAATATTGCCAGCCATAGTTTTATCTGTGAAAACAAAATTAAAATGGTAAGAAGACCGTAAATATTCGACTGTACATTTTTTTTTTGTTACCCAATAGGAAAGAATTTCTAAAAGTAGTAAATTTGACAAGTGTAAAATGTGGTCTGAATTTAGGACTCAGTATCAATTGGAGAATCTTTTAACTTTACAAAAATAATGCTGGTAAATGGAGTATTTCCAAAACCAAATGTATTTAGGAATCCTAAAGGTATAATAAAAACTGAAACAGAATAGCTAAGCCCCATAAGGACAATTAAAAATTAGCCTATTTTTATTCTGAACAATGAAATTGAACTTGTACTGATCATAATCTTATTATTTTTGAAAATTGGAAAATATCTGGATAAGTCACTAATATACTCTTTTCCAAAGAAAAAAATATAAATTGATACATTTTATTTAGTGCAATCCTATAATAAAGAAGGATGGGTCAGTATTTCATTTGTAATAAATAGTTTATTATAATTACTTTCAGATATCATGCTGAAGTGAAATTATGTTTATACTATACCTACAGCATACAACCTAAAAGAAATTGCCACATGTTCATTTAATTATTTTTTAAAAACATGTTAGTTAAAACCCTATTGCCAATAGCAGTTAAGGACACTGATTAAGTCCCTGGACTTGGGTAAACATATTCTTGAGCATATGTAATGAAGAATTACAGTGGCTTTTTATTAAAAATAACAGTTGGAAAAGATAAGTTGAGCTATTTATGCATTTTTATATTCTTAAAAATTCTTTCAAATAGTCTTAATTCTATACTTTTATCTATAAGTAACTTAATAAGTAAGTTGGAAAAAATAGATATTCACAGCACCATAGTTAATTTTTTTAAGATAATAAAACTTCATGAGAATTCTGGATTAGAATATTGTTCATTTCATCTCTTACTTGGATGCATTTCTGTCTTCTCCACCCAATATTTACCAAAAAAAAAAAAAAAAGTGAATAGCAACAAATAAAACTAAGTGTTTGAGTGATTTTCTCTTTTCATCTAACATCTCATTTTGTAAGTCACAGATAATTTACCTATCATAAATTACTACACTGATAGAATAAAGGAAACCTAATATTTTTGCTATTAACTCTCACCAATTTAATGTGCTTGGAAAATAAAATTAAAGTGCTGTCTTTTTTTTCCCTTTTAATTAAAAAGTCCTTTTCTGAGTCCTCACCGGCTGCACACTGTAGATGTTTGCTGGGACTTGTTTTGTCAGGAGTTAGAGCTGGCACATACAGAGTCCCAGTCCTTGGCATTCTTGCAAAGCATATTGGCATTATATGTTAATAAATTCCAAACCCCAGCACAGAAATGTAAGCTAAAATCAAGTCTTGCTGGGTTACTGTACAATAAACTATGCCTACAGAATGTTTTTAATAGGAAGAAGATAAAGCTGCTTGTATAAGATTTGTTCATTTTGAAGAAAAAAAGAGGGAAACAAACACAAAAACCTCAATGCAGTGTACAAATAACATTTTGTTCAACTACCTCTTAACGTGGAATTAGCTAGTTTAGTAGTTTCCTCACATTAATGTTAAATAGTAACTGCCAAATTTGTTATTTTCCCATTTCTCTTTAAAACGTCTTTATTATTATTTTATATAGTTTGGAGAACTTCAAAGCCACTTTTTTTTAACCTTGCATTTGCATAAAAATGTTTAGCTTTTAAGTGGAGAGCAAATTATGATCATATATTTTGATATTCATGACCTGTGTGACTATAGCAGTTTTTTTAAAAAATGCACTTTGGCTATAAAACCATGGATAGTTTGATCTTAAGATTTAAATGTGCCACCAATTTAGTATTCCTAGACATGAACTTGATGAATGGCATTCTGTAATTTTGATGTGCCACACATTATTGTGTCTTAATTGCCCTTTGCCTGAATTTTAATGATCAATTTGTTATTGTTGCAGATGTGAATATTGTGCATAAACTCACTAAATTTATGTAAAATTGTATAAAGTAGAATTGGAAATTGCTAAGTACTTTCTGTGTAGAAGTAATGGATTTATTGTAACACGATGCAGTTATGTATATGGCATTCTGTATTTCCTTGAACTGGATCATATATTCATAGCTTCTGTAGATGTTTTGCATGAATATTTTCTCACTTAGTTTTGGGGTCATTATTTGTATTGTGTTTACTACTTGTGATCATGTAGTTGTGCCTTATTTTGTGAGAGAGTTTAGCTCAGTAAATACTGTAATTTCTAAACTCAGTGATTAGAAGGTTAATTATAAATGTAACTGGTAAATTACAGCATTTAAATCTGTATAAAGAAACAATGGAAGGATCCTTATTAAATGGTTGCTTTTTAAAAATATGCTAAAGGTGATATTAAAAAACGTTTCTAATAGATATATTCAGTGACTAAATTATTTTGTCTTTTTTAAAAAAGAAAGAACAAGATATTTACTGTTTTGCATTCATTTATTACAGATTATTAAGCCTCTGCATTTGGATATAGACAGTGGTTATGTTTTAATGTCATTCAACTTAAAATAGAAATTAATTCCTGATCTCAAGATAAATTATCAATGCCATTTTGCTTGAGACATTTCCTTTCATTCTATTCAATATGGAAAATGTGTGGAGAATTAACAAAACTAAAAAGAAATATAAAAAATATATAATTAACCCCTTCTTTCATTGTGTATTTAAATTTAATACCCCCATGACAATTAAAAGGTAGTTTTTTTGAAAGCCCAATGTACCATTGTTCTTTGCTTTTTATTCCTGGAAACAAAGTTTCCAGAAATTTTATCTTTTACTTTTTTCTAATATATTTGTCTTTGAAGAGTTTAAAGTGCATATGCTCTAATGCCTAATATATTCATATATTAGATGTTATTTTGTGAGCTTTATAGGATTTCAGTTTATGTATGTACAGTGTATTCTTGAATGATTACATTCTTTTTAGTCTTTTTCTCTCTTTAATGAGATTAAATGGGAGAAAACTAGTCCTTTATAATTACAAATATGTGGGTACTGGACTCATAGGCCTAAGAGAATCATTTTTTAAATAATTATTTTATTTAACTTTATTTGCTTGCTTATTTATCTATTTTAGAAGTTTTTGCTATAGGGCACGTGCGCTCGCCAGACAGAGACAGACAGACAGACAGAAAGCGAGAAATCACCCCCCAGGGGTTATGGCCATGCCACAATCCCTTCTCCTCCATTCTCCTCTCCGGATCTTGGGCACGCACGCACACGCGCCCAGCGTGAGTTTAAGCCACTGGGTCTGGGACGTGAACCATAGTTGACTACGTGGGAGTCCAGTGACACAGCCATTATGCTAACTGCTGGTCTCTATTTATTTATTTATTCAAATTTGACCAGAGAGGGACCAAGTGAGCGAGAGAGAGAGAAGGAAAGTGAGGAAGCAAGCTGCCAGGTTCGGGACTTGAACCATTGTCGGCCATGTGGGAGTCCAGCACCTTAACCACCACACCACCTGCTGGCTCCAAAAGAATCTTAAGAGGTCACCTAGTCCTAGTTTCTGTCCTAGGTTGGTTATATTTAAATATCCCTGCAAGATCATTATTCCCTCCCCCCAAAAAAAATGTTTAGCCCAAAATTTCTTTATAAATCTTCTCTTGCATGAGTGTGCATTGTCTTCTAGACACAGTTGCTTACATTCCCATCTAGATGCCATCTAGGAACTCACTTGAAATCTGTTCTTACTGTCCTTCTTTGCCCCCCCCCCATGTGTATTAGCTATTGGGTCGTTAGGAAAGTCATGACTCATTTTTTTAATAGAAAACCAGAAAAACTCATCATGACTTTCCTAATGACCTAATATTAACAACTGCTATTGCTTTCCAGATTTTATTTCCACTTATTCCTTAATAAATGCCCGATATTACTTTAAAGAGACTGTGACTGTCGATTCTAATAGTGCTTGGCTCTTGCACAGAGTATTTCTGCTGCGCTTGCCTGTACTGCCTTGTTTGATGGTGGAATCTGCATGTTTCCCAAAGAATTACAGTGCGCACGACTTCCCCAGACACCCTCTATCCCATTCTTCAACTTAAAAGAAGTCAGCGAAGGTTTTGTCTTTTTGCAGCCAAATTAGATAAATTTACTACTTCTAGTTTGGAAATTGCCAAAGTTTCCATGTTTGAAATTAAAGTTGATGGACTTCCATTTCCGATCCTAAGAACTATCAATAGTTCCTTAAATGTAGTTAATTGTACAGATGCTTTTTAATTTATAAACGGGTTACCTCCTGATAAATCCATCATTAAGTTGAAAATATTATAAGTCTAGCATGTAATACATCTAATCTAACCTCTCAGCTTAGCCTAGCCTAACTTAAATGTGCTGAGAATTCTTACATTAGCCTTGGGCAAAATCATTTAACACAAACACTATTTTGTAATTAAGATAAAATTTGAAGTATGGTTTCTACTGAATGCTTTTTTTTTTCAAACGCGCTTTTGCACCATCCTAGAGTTGAAAAATCATAAGCCATCAAAATTAGGGGGCACCTATAGTTCCTCTATGATAAAATAGTAATTTTAGCTGTCTTTCTTGGTGAAAATTCTAATGAAGTTTTAAATCTTGCCAAATAAAATTAAATGACTATACTGTGCTAAAACACACACACACACCATTCAAAACCAGAAAATAATTTCAATGAATGCACCCTGATTCTTTAAAATGAAGTTAAGAGAAAGATATCTTAGTATTTCTATGAAAATCGTCCATGCAAAAGTGAAGCATACTCATTTTTTAAAAAATAAAATAATGCAATTTAGTCTTGGAACTTTCTACATACGAGTTAGAGTATCATGAAGTATACCTGAGATGAATAAACTGTTGAAGAACAAGAACTTTAAAACAATTAAAATATAGACCTTAGTTGTTGCTTAATGTATTAAAAGAGCAATCAAACTTCGTATCAAAAGAATTATGATTGTGTCTGAGGTAGGACTATAAAGCAGTAAGGCTAATTTACAAGCCACATAAGAAAAAATGTTTCATTATCTTAGATACAAAAAAAGTAAGATGCTAGAATTAATATTGGACACAAGCAGTGGATGGGATGTCATTTTCCTACTGATACTCCATGAATCTGATCAGTCACCCTTTTCTATGATAATGGCACAATTCTTCACTTGTGCCTCTTGCAAACCTTACTGAAACATCAGAAGGTGTTCTGGATATCAGTATAACTTTGTCAGAATCCTCAGAGTTCAAATTTGTTGCAGTCATGACTCCTCTATAATGAGGCGCTTCCTAGCTTAAATTCTCAAAATCTGGGACTGACTTTAAATGCACATTTCCTTCTAGCTCATCACTAGGTAAGTGTTATAAAAGTTTAAATGAAAGAGGCCTTAAACCTTAATATCTAAAAAGGTACACCCCTCATTTTAAGCCTTTAAATTTCAGAGGATTCTGTAGGCAAAGGGAATAAAGATACTTTCTTGGTTTCCTGACTCTTGGTGAAGCAAGAGATTGCTGTTGTTATTTGTGCTATCCACGTTTTCTGTTGAAAAATAAAAAAATAGAGATTAGGATGTTAGACTGACAATTTGGATAATATTTTCCATCTTATTTATCAGTTTGATGATCAATCAAATTTATCAATCTTTAAAACTCAAGTGTAACAAAACTTTTGTATATATTTCCCATTTTCTTATATCTAATATAAATACCTTTAATCATATAGGAGAATGCAAGTGGATTAGATGAATCTGGTATGCAGGTTGGATAAACAGACATGGTAATCAAGGAACCATAATAGCCAATGATGACTACTTAGAAAAATGGGTGCTGAGAATAGTAAATAATTTGATGGTTGAATTTGAGTTTCCATTTTGTGTGGAAACAGAAGTTCTTACTCAGTGATAAAATTTGAAAAACAGACTCAGGGAAGTGAATCAGGAATGTGGGTTCTTAAGAATAATGTAACTTTGCACTTATTGACCGGCCATATTGTTCCTGTGATTAAGGCCTAGACAAAAACAGAAACATCTACAGTAGAGAAATCAGAGCCAAGCAGTTGCTCCTTTAGCCAGATAGCTGTAAAAAACATGGCATAGTTTCAGAGGTCAAAGAGCAGACTTGACTGCTCAGATGGTAAGAGGACCCTCACTTTCGCTGATACCATCTTATTTGCACTTTGGAAAGGCTGGAGTGTCTTAAAAGTTAATCATGCATTCTAAAGCAATTCTTCCCCATTTCCTACAAAAATGATAAAAGTCAAAGGTAGCTTTTGAGCTGCTACAGCAAGAAAGTGAGATGGGTTGACTCTGGGAGTGGAAGGTGATGTTGACACTGAGGTTTCTGAGCATGGTTAAGACTAGATCTCTCCCTCGTCTCCCAATTTCTGCCCTTCCCAAAGTGAGTGAAAGAAATACACAATGCTTTTCATTCACCATTACTTAAGAGGCTTGGGAATGAAATTTTTTCTTAGGTAAACTCTAAAGAATCAAAGACCTACAAAATGAAAATACATACTTTGATGTTTTCCGTTTGGGCTTGTAATAAGAATGCTGCTATACATTGTCGGTATCTGTTTTCATGTTGTATAAGAAAAGCATTTCTGAGCCCAAAGACTAGGAAAAAAATTACAAAGACAAAAGCCAAATCATTTAATATGAAATCCAAGTAGTTTCTTAGTCAAGGACCTGGTTTTATTTTGTAGTTTTCCTTGAGGGTGGGAGGTTTATGAAGATTACCCTCCCCCCCAAAAAAATTCTGATGCCAAGACTCCACTAGTATGTCCAAATAGAGCCCACTTTTAATATGAAAACCTTTTCTTCCTTAGACTTCTGGGACTCCATGGAATGCAATTACGGCTTATGTGATGGAAAAATGGGCTCTATTTTATAGAACAAGTTAAGCTTTATTACGTAGATCATGTGTGTGAAAATGTAGATAAAAATATGGTAAAATAATGTATTTTTTTGTCCCTATCACTCTTATTTTATTTTTTTATTTAAAGGCAAGTCCCATGAAAACTGTACTTATAAACCAAATAAGATGTGGAATATAAAAACCACCAGAATGCTTCATATCAAGTCAAGAAAACCTAAAAATCTAACTTAAATAAAGTGTGATTTCAACCAACCTATGTGAAATGTGAAACAAAATGAACCAAAAAGCAATGCTGGCATGATTTCTGGGTTTGCAAAAGAAACTCATTTCCTAGCTGGTCTCAAATGACAGGAGATATTAGGAGGACAAATTCCTTCTTTCATTTAGCTGGAGCTCTTAAAATGAAAGTCTCTTCCTTGAATCACAACACAGAATAGAATTCTGTAGTTTATACATTCTTTCTACAGTCCTACAATAAATGAAGGTTTAGAAATAAACCCCGAAGCTGGGCTGTTCCCTGGTCATATCAAGTGCTTCAAGGAAGAAGAGAGCGAGCAAGTAACTTATTCCTGGCTCATTATTAAGCTGATGCTTGACCACCATTATTTTGTGATTTATCAGAGGTAGGTCAGGCTTCATTTCAGAATAAAAGTGAAGAAGAGAATTAATTTCTAGACAACAACAACTATTCTGGTATCACAAATTATATTGAGTCATCAGAAAATTCATTATGTATTTCTTCTGTGTTTTTCTATGGAAAAATGAGTCATGACTTTTCTGATAACTCAATAATTCACAGTCATCTAAACCTCATCATTCCTAAATTCAACAAATGAAATCTGTTTAATGTCAGGTCATGAAATCTGTCCTGCTTCTCTGAGGTGAGAGGAATTAAACCTATTAAAATGACTTTCTGGGAACAAAAAAAACTCAGGCTATGTTTGTTTTACTCTAATTTATCTCCTTGTAAATTTCCTGTAGCTAGTGGCTTTAAAGAAAAGGTTATTCTTGGGTTTTTGGAATCTATTTTCTTCAAAAATTCCAGTAATTCTGGAATTCTGTAATTCTCAGTTATTCTAGACAACTTTTTGTTTGGTTTGGTTTGTTATATGGATACAAACCAGAGACTTATAAACAAAAGGCCCTGACAAGTATAGGTCTGTAAAATATAGTAAGGATATAATGTATAGGCAGCCGTAGCTTTTTCCTACAATCCTAATAGCATTTTTCAAACATTTACTGGACACCATGCTATGTTTTTTCCTCCATTTTTGTATCATTTAAACCACAGCAACCATATAAGATAGGTCAGCTAATTCCCACAGATGAAGTTTTTCAAGGTAATGGTTTGTAAATGTGACATAACCAGGATCTGAAATGAGGTCTCTGTCACTCTGAAGTTCAATCTCTCTTGTCCCTATTTACTCGTTCCCACTCTACAGCTATTCTGTTTCATGTACTGTGTCTGAACAGTCAAAATACAGACCAGAGGAATGAGAAAAAAATAAAAATGTGGAAGTATGTTTTCTTTAATGTATCATTTAAATTTTTTTCTTTATTCATAATAGAATTCATGTGATCAGAAGAGAGAAAAGGAAGAGAGAGGAGCAACTCCCCCCCACCCCCCCAGAGTCTAGTCACACTGTGATCCCCTTCCTGCAGTCCTTTTGGCCTTTTGGATCTCAGGCATGAGTGCCCAGAGTGTTTCAGTGTTTCAGGTTGTTCAGGCAGGGGGATTCGAACCATGGTCACAATGTGGGATCCAGTTTCTTTTGAGCAGTGCATTACTGCTATTCCAAGAAGCTAGCTCTATTTTAAATTTAAAAAGGGGGTGGGGGAAGGAATTGAAAAGAAACATGCATCTCCCATGTAATCTGGTGATGCGTGAGTTCCCATAACTTCCAGTTCTTAAAGCTGGAGGGGCTGTGAATAAAGTGAGCTGAGCTGTCAGTCAAGCTGCTGGGGGTCATGACAGCTTACTCTCCTCAAGTCCACTTATCCTGCCATAATCCTTAATATGGTCACTGCCTGTGGAGGGTGAAAGAACTCCTAGCACAGGCTGCCTTCTACAAGGATACTTTTCCCATGAAAAAGCAAGCTAAACAAATAATAAAATGGAAATGATTTCTGGCCCCCACACAATGAATCCCTGCCTTGTCTACACATTTTGTTACTCCTTGAGCAGAGAGGAGGCTCACTCTGGAGGTGAGCACACTCACCTGCAGAGGTTTAGCAAATCCCCACAGACCCCTTGTTAGGCCTGGCTCCTGAACTGCTTTGAGGTACCCTGGGATTGGTCCCAGCCAAATCAAATACAGGAGACTAAGATTTGCTAAGGTATGTTTCAGCAAATCTTAAATCATGTACAAAGAATAAACACAGGAGGCAGAAGGCTATATTTCTGCATCCAGACTTCCCTTGGTGGAGCCTCCTACTCTTGGGGAAAGAGGTTGCAGACATTCATGAGTTAATATATGTAAAACATTTCAATATATAACTTTATGATTTAACTTAATTATGTATGTCTGCTATTAATAGTATCCACTTGTGCATTCATTCATTCATTCAATATTTAAGGTTGCTCCACTATGTATAAGTGGGTCTCATACTAGTCATTGAAGCTCTACCAGCTGCTGGCTTGGAGATTGAGGAGAAAGGTGAGTGCACCTTCTTTTCTTGTCATACCATGGGACAGAAAGGCAGTCCCTGCCTGCTTGGCTTCAGCTGGTCTGGGACCCTCTACCTAAAGCAGGGTGGCCATCTGCTTCCCCCTGAATACTGCAGATACCCACCCAGCCCCAAGGAGACCAAAATGTCCTTCAAGTTCCTCAGAGTCTGAGGGCTTTTCTGACAGAGGATTGTACTGATTTATCATTATGAGAGCTTCCCTAGGGCATGGGCTGTTTTTTATTCATCTTTGCATCTCCAGGGACTTCTAAGTGCTTGGCTCTTAGGAGACACTCAGGAAATGCTTGAATGAGAGATTAAAAAGTATATATACCTATATTTGAAGTGTGTGAGAGGTTATATACATAGGCAGTTTATATATATATATATGGGTGTGTGTGTGTGTGTGTGTGTATAAAGATGTATTTGTGTATATGTCTGGGATATGGAGTGATATAATAAAATATTCTATCCTTGCATTGCCAACTATTATTTAGCAGTACTTTAACAATAGCAGCAGTGCCAGTCATGATAATATAATAACAATACTAATGATAGCTATCTATTATTGAATACATTATACCCATTATTTCATTTAATTCTTAAGAAAACAAACTGAACCACATAGCACTGCCCCATTTTACCAAAAGGAACCTGAGGCTTAGAAACTTTAGGTGTCTTGCCTAAGGACACACAGTTAGCAGGTAGCAGAACTAGGTATCTATGAGAATAGACACATACCTGACACATGGAGTGGATCAATAATTTTGACTAACAATCTATCCAGTGGAATGGGCTGATCAAGCACGGTACAAGAACCACCCTCTTTGATTACTGTTTGCAGCTCAGGAGTAAGTGAAGGACACATTAAACTAGTGTCTGGACTCCCAAGTTTCTGAAATTAAAAGAGGAAAATGATGCAATACATAGGAAATGAATGTACGCATACCCAAAGTGCATGTGCCTTACACAAATGGATTCTTCTAAACAGTTGCTTGGAATCTAGCCTACTATTTTTTCTGGATCTTGAAAAACACTTCTCCAAAGCACAGTGAAATTTGAAGCAAAGTCTTTCTAATCTCTCAGTCTAATTGCCTGAATAAATAATGGTTGACACCATGACTGGGAAACACTTTAATCATCATCACATCAATGGGAAGATCTTCATTCTCAGTATTTTAATCTCTCTATGGTATTGAGTCAGGTGAATGAGAAAAGGGAACCTCATTTGGCCAACTCTGCATGAGATCTAATACTAAACTCTAAATACAGTCCATACTCTAGCATTTGTAAATAATTGAAATTGTTTTGAACAAATAAGATGCTGAATGTCTAAAATAAGACAAAATAGCAAAAAGGAACATAAACTGATAATATTTCTCATTTTAGAAACAAGGTATAAAGCATAAATCAGATTACCTAATAGTAAAATTAGTACTGTGAAATGTCATTAATTCACGGATTCTGATTTATATTTACATGAGAAGTGAAGGTAGGATATACTAACATCAGGTTTTTGAAAAGGGTAGAGATTTTTCAGAACTTGGTTTGTTCAGACCTCCTGGTCTGGGTAGCTTAAAATAAAAGACCATACAAATTCTGAAACACTGATTCTTAATATTCTCCAATACCTACTGTCTCCCCAACCTATTCAATCAAGTTATTCATAGATTGATTAATGGGTATCTATTTTACTGCTTAAAGATTCTTGAATTATTTAGATCACACATCAACATACCATCTAGAAGCTTAGTTTATTAAAAGATATGAGACATCTAGACTCATGATCTTAGCATCTATGGAAGGCTAGTGATTGGTAAAGAAATGAGTGGAATAAAACATTAGACATCTCTGATGGCTTAAGACATATTTTGCTCCTCCTTCCATCTCAAAGAGCAGGTATCTGAGAGTCTTAGAGGGGACTGCCTCCCTGCTACCACTCACATAGGCCATTCAAGTGACCAATTGAGAAGCAGGAGATGAGACCCAAAACTGTTTGTGGACCATCAAACCCATGACTTAATGGGTGGTAAAAACGACAACATTAATGGTAGCCAAAAATACTTAGGTAATGTGGAAAATCCCTGTTTTCTGTAGAAACTTTGTGACTTTAGCCTCTAGTTGACTCATTTTGTTTGTGATGCCAGTGAAGTAGACCTCCATTTTGAACTCCTCTCTACATTGGAAACTTGCTTTCTCCTTTTTGCCTAGAATAAACAGAGTGATTAACACTCATACTGTCTTTGCTAAATTACTTGAAACTCTACTCTAAGATGTTCCTTAGTTGCCAGACCCCTTGCCAGGAGCCATGCAGACCACTAAGATTCCATTGTGTTTAGGTAGGGATGGAACATACCCTTAGGAATGATTAACCTGCTTGTTTTGCTTCTGTAATTCACTTTTGCTTTTACATTGTAAAACCCTACCCTCTACGCTTTCAAGCCCACCACTCTTTATTCTTGTGATTGCCATGTCAACCCAGAAAAGTGTGTGATTTTTGCCTTTAGAAGCATCCCTCACCTTACACTCGGGGCTGCAAGGTTTTGAGAGACATGAGTCTCCCTGTATGCCACCAGCTTAATTAGTAAAACTCCAATAAATTTGGCTGTGTCTGGATGTCCTCTTATTACTCGCTGATTAGACAATAACATCAGCTACATACTTGTTCGGCTTCTGCCGTTCTTAAACCAGTAGACACAGAAAGATCAGAGCTCCCCTCTCTAGCGCCCACATAATCATCTCTTAGCAATGTTTTGGACTTAAATCAGAATGAGTGATGGTAGACACCACATCGGCACCTGGCAGTGGACAGTTTGGAGACCTTCACCCCTTTCTTTGTGTGACCAATTTGGATGAGATAGGAACCAATATGGACAAAGATATTTTAGGTTTCTTTGCTTAGGTAGGTCAGGTATAAAGGCTGTAGGGACTTAGTTTCAAGGAATACACATGAAGTCTTTCTAAAATGTATACTCCCTTGATATCCTTGAGAAGTATAACTTTTTTTCATTTTTGTTTCAATTCATAGCTGACTAAAATGCCATTGTTTTTAAATGCCTTCACTTTTTTTTTAGAAGGTATAATCCAATTTGAGGTATAGAAACATTTTATATTTTTAATACAATTTATTTAGAACTATTTTTTTAAACTCATTTAGACATTCAGAAATAGCATTTTACCTTTTTGTTGCGCTTAGTTTTTGTAACTAAGAGGAAATCATCAAAGAGAAACAGATAAACATCTAGGAATCTTGTACTTTCTGAGGAAAGAAAGAGAATGTGAAATGGAGTCTTGAAATGATGTAACCAGAAGGTGTTTTTACTGTTGTTGCTTTGTTTAATCAAAGAATCCCTTAGAAAACAAAACAGGGTACTTAGTAAGGCACACCTGGCTTGCAGCTCAGGGAGCTCCAACCATGTAGGCCAAAAACTACCTGTGTGAATGCTGAATTGATTTCTTCCTAGAGCAGAGACTTGATTAGGATTTAGTTTATTTGTTTTGTTTGTTTGTTTTTTAGGTTTTTGCATGTGCTCACCAGAGAGACAGGGAAAGTGAGAAATCACCCCCAAGGGATATAGCCATGTTGAAATCCCTTTTCCTCCATTCCCCTCTCAGGATTTTGGGCATGCACGCACATGCACCTGGCATGAATTTCAAGTCACTGGGTCCAGTACTTGAATTACTACCAGCCATGTGAAAGACCAATCAGTGCCTTAACCACTATGCTACCCACTGGCCTGAGACTTGATTAATTTTTAACTTTAAAGACATTGTATTTGTGATGCATTTTATATGGATCTAAGATGACTCAGATGATATTTGTAATGGTTTCAACCAAGCCTAGGACAAGTCCACTGACTAATCGAACTTTGCAGCGTGTTTGCCTCTTGGATCCTCTGAGTAGTCATTGGTCAAGGCACATGTTACCAGAGAAAAGACATTTGGTTATTGTTATGGACTGAATCATGTCCCCATGAAATTCATACCTGGAAGCCCTAACTCCCAGTGTGGCCATAATTGGGTCAAGTAAGTAATTCAGGTAAAATGAGGTCATAAGGTCAGAGATCTGATTAGATCTGTGTCCACATACAAAGGCACACAAGAGCGCTTACTCTGTCTCTGCCATGTGAGGACACAGCAAGAGGGTGGCCATCTGCGAGCCAGGAAGAGCCCTCAACAGGAATTTCAAGAAAATAGACTAGAAACTTGAAGGCATCTTTGACTCATTTCCTCTTCATACTTTCTCAATGATGAAGTCTTCCTGTTTTTGCCTTTGAACTATCACATTTGTCCTTTTTTAAAAATTTAGATTAAAAAAAAAGTATATTTTAAAAATTTGTGAGAGGGTTTGTGTGCTTGCCAGAGAGGGACACAGAGAGAGGGGAAAGTGAGAAGACACTTCCCAGAGGGATGGTAATACCATAGTCCATTCTCTTTCTTTCTCCTCTCAGGCTTTTGAGTGTGCACACACACTTGTTCAGCGTGTTTTTCAAGGCCCCAGGTCTGGGACTCAAACTGTATTGTTGGCCATTTGGAATCCAGCAGCCTTAACCATCACCCCATGGGCTGGCCCACATATATTCTTTTATATTGATGCTTATTTTTTACATTTCATGAGAGGCCAGTGCATTGCATGGCGTCGGGAGGTTGGTAGGTATAGGGAAGTGTGACCCAAAATCTAATATCAGGTAGAGATACTTTGCTTGCTTCATAACTTTGGTCTTACTGTAATATTATTTTGAAATTGTAAATAACATTGAAGAATTTTAAATTGTTATCTCTCCAATCGAAACTATTTTAATGATAGTTAAAAATGGTTGTATGACACACCTAGGGTTTCTCACCTCACCTGGTTACTATGTAGTTTCTGGCCTGGTCTCTCTGCTTTGGTCTCTTATGACATTTTGTGCTCTGATTCTCAATAACTTTCCAACACCTTTTTAGGCCTATCACATCCCTGCCAAGATCTCAATGACCTCTTATTGCCTGCAGTTTCTTGATTGGGTTCCTATGTTTGGCTTCCAGGGCAGCCATTGTGATTCTGGAAGCTTACTTGACCAAGACAGACAGGCTGGAGTCAGGACTCTGCCATTTACCCACAAGCTGTCCTTGAGCACCTGAACCTCTCTGATTCTCAGATCCGTCACCTATGAATTTAACATAATCTCTATGTCTAAGTTGTTGAAAAAAGACAGTATATAAAATGGCTCTTTGATTCAAAACACTGAACATCTCTATTTTCCCTATTTGACAGTTGCCAGGTGGGGATTATGTCTTACTCAGACATCCAGAGCAATACCTAAAATGTGGCAGATTCTCAATACAAAAATCATGTAAGAAATTATTCCCAGCACCTCCTCACTAGATCTCACATTTACATGAAGAGGCAACCTCATATGCCACAGAGCTTCAAATTCCCAGTCATGATTTTGTGCAGAATGATTGCAAACCTTATTTAAGCTAGGCAGCCCTTTCTGATCATCATAGCAACACTAAGCAAGAATTTTGTGTCAATCATTCCTTCAAGTATTTGTCCACCTATTAGCTCATTTAATCCCCACAACCAAGAGGGGTAAAGTGAAGCAGGGGAGAACACTGTAAGCGAAGCAAGGTTACATGGGAAGAAAACGCAGAGCTAGAGTGTGTGCCAGGCAGTCTGCCCTCCAGAGCACTCTGCTAAGAGCCTATCTTCTCAGCTAGCTTTCACCTCCAAGTCTTCTCTCCTGCTGAGCTCTTCACCTCTGATACTCCCCTCCTGTCTATCCACTGACCTCATCCTTTCTGTTCCTCAAAGCCCACCTCCACCCCTGTGTACCATGTGGAGCCTTTTCTAGGCACTCCAGTCTCAAAGACTCTCTTCTTTTTTGAATTTATACTGCAGGTATGGTCATTACAAAGGAACTTCCCAAGAAGAGGGAAAAGATTATACAGAATAATATCCTCCAATGGCACCTGTCTAATACAACATGAGACACATAGCAGGTTCTCAATAAATCCTTGATTGATTGCCCTGCTCATTGGAGGAGTGAGATGATGAAAATAATAACAGATGACATTGACCAAGTGTTTGCTATATTCCAGACCTTGAGGTAAGTTCTTCATGTTTGTTATTTTAACAATAATCCTATGAAATAGATGTAGTTATCCCATTTTACAAAGAGAAAATAAAGGGCATATAGGCAGTGACCCTGCAAAGTCTTTGTTCCACTTGGAGTCTGTATGACTCCATAAAGTGCTCTCTGAATCACACCGTCCAACACCTTGGATGCAGGCAGATACAACTCCCCCTGACCTTCAATTAATGGCAGTTGAATAAAGTACAAGGTGGCAAAGATGTTGGGTTTTTAAAGGAAGAAATTACCTACCTACAAGTGTTAATTTTCCTTCATAAAGAAGATGCCTGTTGGTTGGTGACAAGACGTTTTCTGTCATGTGTTCTTTAAAAATGTGCTTCAAGGACTTGCAAAATGGAGAAAATAAAAGAGATCTTGTTAGTAATTGGAAGAAAATATGTTCAAGGAGCTGGGGCAATCAATTCCATCTACTGGCATTTGGAAATGCCAATAGGATGTGGGAATGGGAAAGAACAAAAAAGCCTCTGAGAAGGACTGTGTCAGGGATGGCACAATGATGTCAGTCTCCCACACATGCAATAACAAAACAGTGGATGAAGGTTTACTTCTTGCTCATAAAACTAGATTAATTCTCTAAGTGAATGGCTGGGGACTTTCTAAAGCTATTATATTTCCTCTGGAATGCTAAATTTCCGGAAAGGAATATAACTCCTAATTGATCCATTTCATACCTCTGGGATGAAGAACCTTTTATCTCTATCCCACAGTGGAGGCCACACTATAATCTCCTGCAGTTGTCTAAATTTTTGGAAATTGTCAAGCCACTTCACTTTTCCTTCAAGATCTCCTAAAAGACAAGACACATCTAATATACTTTAAAATACACATGACATCACAGCATACATTTTGACCAACATCTACAGGAATTATTCAATGACATTTATTGCTCCTAAACCCAAAACATATTTTAGGCTCATTTAACATATTTCTGGTTGTTTAAGTGTCTTAGAAAACTCACTAATTTGAAAGCAGCCTTTTTTAGAGAAAAATGAAGCCTAACTTAATTTAATTCAATAAATAGAAATGCATCATACATTTTTTTAAGAGGTTTTTGCTATAGGGTTTATGTGTGCACTTGCTAGAAAGACAGAGAGAGACAGAAAGTGAGAAATCACCCCCCACACCACAATACCTTCTCCTCCATTCTCCTCATGGGATTTTGGGCATGCATGCACACGTGCCTAGCATGAGTCTAAACCACTGGGTCCTGGACTTGAACTGGGGTTGACTACATGGGAGTCCAGCAATGTAGCCATTACATCGTTTGCTGGTTCCGTGTATCATACATTCTTATTTCAGTAATGTTAAGGAAACCCTTGGTAATTTTCTTATATTTTCTATACCACACAGCCCATAAAATATCAGACTAACGAAGAGAACCATATATCTTTTCCCTAATTAAGAATATACTTTGCTTCATAAAAAGAATGATTATGTCTTTTTGGGAAAAACTCAATCTCTTCTTTGAAGGTTTGTATTTATTTTCCAACATTTTCTAATAACATGTTGTGACTGGGGTTTTGAAATAATTTTTGGAAACATGGAGGCAAGTCAAGTCATTGCACATAGGATCACATGGTTAGTAGGATCCTTGAGAATTCATTGTTAAAGTAATAACTTTAGAAGAAGACCACAGGGAAAATTTCCCTCAGCAGTAAGAATTCATCTTTATATTGAGAAATTACCAGAGGATTTATCTGTATCTTCCTCACAAATCTATCCAAATTTGTAATAATTTTTAAAACTATTGTAAAGTTTCAAAAAGTCTTTCTTTAATTAAACTTGTATCTATGTACTTGGTAAATTTGATTTCAGTTTTTTTAGGTCATTTTAGAATTTTTCCTTTGTTTTCAAATATATTTTTTAAAAGACTTATGTATTTAATTGGAACCACCAGATGGTGTAACAGTTACGTCACTGGACTCCCATGTATTTAACCACTATTTGAGTCCTGGACTCAGCGGCTTGAAACTCACACTGGGCACATGTGTGTGTGTACCCAGATCCCAAGTGGAGAATGGAAGAGAAGAGATTGAGGCATAGGGAACCAGCAGTTAGCGTAATGGCTATGTTGCTGGACTCCCACGTAGTCAACCGCGGTTTGCGTCCCAGACCCGGTGGCTTAAAACTCATGCTGGGCGCGTGTGCGTGCGTGCATGCCTAAGATCCCGAGAGGAGAATGGAGGAGAAGGGATTGCAGCATGAGCATCTCCCCTGGGGGTTGATTTCTCGCTTTCTGTCTCTCTGTCTCTGTTTGTCTAGCTAGCGCATGCGCCCTATAGCAAAAACCTCTCCAAAAGAGATTGAGGCATGGCCATCCCCTCTGGGGGCGGGGGAGGGGTGATTTCTTGCTTTCTATCTGTTTTTCTGGAGAGCACATATGCCCTATAGCAAAAATCTCTCTCTCAAAAAAAAGATTTATATAGTTAGCTCTATTTATCATTATAATATTTACTTATCATTTATAATCATATTAGTTTTTAATTTGACTGGAGAGAGATGGAGAAAGAGAAAGAGAACGTGAGAAAGCAAGCCGCCAGGTCTGGGACATGAACCGTGGTCGGCTATCTGGGAGTCCAGCACTTTAACCATCATACCACCTGCAATTTAGTCATTTTATAATCTGAGGGAAAAAAATCAAAAAAGGAGAGAAAAAACTAAATGCTCATTTTACTTTTAAACTCGTAAAAGAAAAAAATGAATATATCATTTCTGCACAGCTGATAATTATCATTTTGAGTTGTTTCTTGATGCCCATCAGGAAATCTCGGTTTATGGGCACATAGCATAGATCTCTTTATTGAATGTCATCATATAGAGCTATACAAATAAACTTAAGTCATCACAGAGCATGCTTAATCCCACCACTTTCCCCATTTCAGCTCTAAAGATTGCTATTGGCATTATTTTTCCAGTTGTCCAGGATTCCAATGAATTTTAAAAGTAACAAATGGTAATTTATCCTCGGGATAGACTTTCCACGGTGTTCATGCCCATTTGCTTTGTGTGTAAATTCAGTATGAATGTGAAAAATAAAATGCCTTCAACTATCTGGGAAGTAGAACTTTTCCTGCCTGAACTCAATTCTGAAACTCTTGGAGACAGAGCCAGGTCCTGTGTAAACTTGGTGTTAAGTTCCCATCAGGTTCGCCAGGATGTGACTGGAGCCCATTGTTCTGGGTGTGATTGATTTGAAATACACTGAAATTCAAATTCAAATTTCCTCTAAGAACACCATGACCTCAAGTCAATGGAATTACCTTCTAGGATGGAAGCCTAGCTGGTTCCCAGGAGCCATAGGCACCCCCAACTCTTCAAATAAGGTCATTTATTTCACTTACGGATCGACTTTTCCACCTTTTCCTTGATGGAGTAGATCATGACTTTCTCAGTAGAGTCCATACTCTTTTTCCAGATATTCTTCAGTAACAATGGATAGCGAGTGAGCCTGTGTAGTGGGGCCACGAGTAGCTCAGACAGGTGAAGCCGTCTGCACTGATCATTTTGCTCACACCACTGGAGAAGGCAAAAGTAGACATATCAGAATATTACCTCCTGGTAGAGGCACTATTAAGCCTGGGCACAGGAAGTTCTTAGAGATTTTACTTAATAATGACAGGATGCACCTAAAGCTTGCTGTGCAACTTCATAAGTTATGGACTGTACTGATACTTGCAAATGTCATATTACACTGTCTTTAGCAAGCATCTATATACTTGTGCCAAATTTAGGGTCTGAAATTGGGTTATTGGACATGGTTAAGAGGTATGATTGAATATTACTGACTGACAGTATTAATTTTCAGCTAAAGGAATGAAAGAACCCTTCTTTAGATGCCATGTCTTCCCAGAAACGGTAATGAAAACAGCAATCATCAGCACCACTTGTACCATTCAATCCTCCTAAATGGGGAAATATACCAAGATTTAGGTGCTTAGAAAGAAGTTTAAAACTTATTAAATCCTCTAAAATCAAAATGATGTATTAGTGATCAAAGATTTATTAATACATGAGTTCTTTGTTTTTTCTTCTCATTTGAGAGTTCAGTTTTGCCTTCTCCCTAGCACTTGGAGGAGACTTCTGGTTTCATTTGCTTTGTTCTCATCCTTGATGTGATGAACAATTAGGAGAACTAAAAACCAAGCTTGGAGAAATGTAGGGAAGAGAAAGGATTCTTGTTTGTTGGGAAGAATTGGAATAATGATTAAAAATAACTTGATACTAATATAGAAGAAAGAAGAAAGAGGAGAGGAAGAAAGACAATTTTCAAAATAGAGAGTAAAGATTGGAGAATGAGGCAGTTCTAGAGTATGTAGGCACTGAGGAAGACAAGAAAAAATGTTAATAGGTATTTCTATGAGTTATGCATTGAAGTTCCATAAACAGTATTTGACAAACACAAATGTGAAAATAGCTTTTACATTTGTGTTTTCTGCTAGCTGTTACTTTGAATATGACATTTCCTCAAGTCTAAAGGGCCTCTGCTTTCATGCAAGTGACACATGATGATGGAGGCAGGCTGTTGGTTTTTTCCTATGCAGATAAGAACAGTATTATGAAGGGATGTGCTCTTCTCTTCTTCTTTACCTCATCCACTCACATCAAATTGTTCCTGAGTCCAACTATAAAGAGACTGAGTGATATGAGCCCACTGCAATGGCACAGGCAGTAAGGATGTGGCTGTTTAATGCTAGTGACCATGTGCAAAGTCTCTGGGTCTGCTTCAACGTGCCTAGCACACCTGATTGACTGCAGGCTGGGGGCAAGATCATAGTGTGTAGGCTCTGTTGCATGTTCCTCTCTCTCTCATGAACAAAATAAAGAAATACACTTTAACAACAACAAAAACGATTGCTATGGATGGAATGTTTGTATTTCATCAAAGTTAATATGTTGAAATCTTTACCTTCAACGTGGTGGTAGTATTAAGAGATGGGGCCTTTGGGTAAAGATTATTAGGTCATGGGGAGGTGGTGGTTGAGTTGTCATAAATAGGATTTAGTGCCATTATAAAAAGATCATTATAAAAGATCCTCACTTCCTACCATATGAGGATACAATGAGAAGTCAGTCACCTGTAACCTAGAAAAAGACCCTTGCTAACACCCAACCACATTGACTCTCTGATCTAAGACTTCTAGCTTCCAGAACTCTAAGAAATACATTTCTATTGTTTATAAGCTAACCTGTTTATGGTACCTTGTTATGGCAGTTCTATTGACTACAAGAATACTGCTCTTACACTACTTTCTTTCTTCTCGCTTTCTTTTTTTTCCCCTATACATTATTGACTCTTCCATTTTTCATTCTTGGTACAGGCCCAGATTAACTCCTTTACCTTGTGACTCAGACCCTTCAGGGCCATCCTCAGGTGGGCCAGGTACACTGGGGGAGGCTCCTTTGCTTCCCTAGAGATAACTTGATGTCTAGGTGTCAGCCTTGCATTTCAGAGATCTAAGTATAGTAGACTCAAACCCTCACTTACCAATGGCCCACTGAAATCCAGAGGCCTCCTCTAGATATTTACTAACTTATAGAGACGAAGATTCTAATGGCTTCCCCTGACTCCTGGATTTCTATTTCCACAAATACTGTGCTGTGGCTTGGGCAATGGTTTATCTCCCAAAGATTTGTGTTTTGAAATTTGAGTCTCCAGTGTAACAGTAGTGGAAGGTGCTAAGATCTGTAAGAGATGAAGTCTAGTGGGCAATGATTAGACCATGGAGACATTGCCTTCATGAATGGATTTATGCTGTCTAGCCTGGCCAAGTGAGTTCTAACTCTCATGAGAAGGAGTTAGCTATTAAAGAGAGAGCTAGTTGCTATAAAAGGAAGATGGCTACCCCCAGGTCTCTCTGTGTGCAAGCACTTACCTTCTGCTTCTGTTTAACATGCCATGATGTAGCTGGCCCAGTCCAGCAGCATGCCTTTGGACTTATCCTTAACAGTGTGGACCAAATGGAGCCCCTTGGTTGGTTTCCTATACTAGTTTCCACTATAAATTTGCTGATGCCCAATGTTTTGAAAATGTGAATATTTAGTTTATTGAAGATTTGGGTGTGTGAAGACAGGTCAAATACACAGCCCACAATATCCTATTTATTTATTTAGTTTTAGATTTTTGCCATAGGGTACATGAACTCACTGGAGAAAGACAGAGAGGAAAGTGAGAAATAACTCCCCATGGGGCATGCCTATGCCACACAGTCCCCTCTCCTCCACTCTCTTCTTGGACACACACGTTCGGCTTGTTTTTCAAGCCTATGGGTCTGGCACTTGAACCACAGAGTTGACCATGTTTATATCCTGGCAAATTATAAAAAAAAAAAAAAAAAAAAAAAAAAAAAAAAAAACTGGCACAGGGATGGGAAAATGTAGAACGAACCTGGGACTGTAGCTGTGGAAAGGCCAAGAGTAGCAACAAGTAGAAACAGAATAGTGAGAACTCAGCACTATGACACTAGTGGATGGTTTCCCTTCTAACTGACAGGCAGCAGCATTCCAGCTGTTGGCCCTCTGGCATGGCAAGGGAAGTCCCTCTCAACACACAGCCCCATGCCACTCCCCAGAATCACCATGCTGTGGGGCACAGCTCTAGCCACCAGGACCCATTGGTTTTTGGGGTAAATGTGAAAACACCAACCTCCTCCAGGTAGCAATCAGGCAAGAAGCATCAGTGGTAAATAATTTAAACAAAGATCCAGATAGGGATGTCAAAAGCTTTTAGTGATTCAGAAAAACCTCAGAAGAGAGGAAAAAAAGCTTGGTCGAAAATTATAAAAGTAAAGCTAGAAGTTTTTCTTTCATCTTCCTATCAGCTTTGCTTTTCAGGTCCATTGGGGAAAGCAAAGATCATCTCTATCAAGAGACATTGGGCATAAAAGGACTTTTCATTGATGGGTCTAGGTCAATGAAATCTGCTTTCATTTTACAAGAAATGTCTAGTGGAACCACGAAAGGAGCTAAGGGGCTAAAATAAAAATGTTCTTCTAATACGCCTGTGTTGGTGGGACAAAGCATCAGGTTGGGGCAACCAGTATTCTTGGAACCTTGGAAAACTTACTTTACCTCTCTATCTCTCATCTGTAAAACTCAAATAGTAAGAGTAACTGCCTTGGGACCAGCAGTTAGCGTAATGGCTATGTCTCTCAACTCCCATGTAGCCTACTGTGGTTTGAGTCCTGGACCTGGTGGCTTAAACTCACGCTGGACACGTGTGTGTGCATGCTCAAGATCCTGAGAGGAGAATGGAGGAGAAGGGACTGCAGTGTGGTCCTCCCCCCTAGGGGGTGATCTCTGTCTCTCTCTGTCTTTCTGGAGAGTATACATGCCCTATAGTAAAAACTTTTCCAAAAAAAAAAAAAGAGTGACTGCCTCATTGGGTTGGTGAGAGGCTTTAATGAGATCATCTACACAAAGGGCTTCAGTGGTGTTTGGCATATCTCAAACACGCAGCTAGAGTCCTTAGCAATTGTCAGTAGAGCCACACTCAGAGACACAGTACAAGATTTCCAGTCTCTTTCTCTGCATCATCTTTAAAACAAAACAAAACAAAACATATCATGTCATAGGACACATGCACTCACTGGAGAGAGACAGAGAGAGAGAGAGAGAGAATGAGAAACCCCCAGGGAAGGGATGATCACACTGCAATCCTTTCTCCTCCATTCTCCTCTAGGGATTTTGGGCATACGCACCCTGGAGCCCAGTGTGTTTTTTCAAGCCACCAGGTCTGAAACTAGAACTGTGACCATGTGGGATCCAATCAATGCCTTAACCACCATGCCACCTTCTGGCCCCTCTCTGAATCATATTTTCTCCCATTGGGTGCATGTGCTCGCAGCAAGAGATACAAGGTGGGAGGTGAGAAGTCACCCCCCTCCCCCGGGGAATGGCCATGTTGCAATCCCTTCTCCTCCACTCTTCTCTCAGGATTTTGGGCACGCACAGGTGATTGGCATGATTTTCAACCATCATGTGGAAGTCCAGCACCCCAATTACCATTCCACCTGCTGGTCCTTACATCATCTAAATGTTGAAATAGTGGGAAGAATTCCATTTCTCTTCATAAGACCCAAGATAATGTCTATATATTCACAGCCCCTCATCCCTGTGCATTCATATGCCAATTTCAGAAAGCCCCTACACG